TCCTTGCGGTTGATCTCCAGCACCATCGGTCCAAAATGAGAGACTTTGTCATCTTTCTGTCGCTGCTAAAAACATGTAGCCCTTATGGGTAGGCTTCACCTCCCTTCATGTATATGCATATATATATATATATTTATGTATATGTATAAGCTCATTTCATTAGGGTCAATTAGTTTGATTCGGGGGTTGTGTTGGGGAGCAGTCAATGCCGAAACCTGCTGGCTGCAGTGGAGCACATGGACCTGCCGCGCGCGGGCTTGAGAAAGTGATGTGAGGAAAAGGCTACCTGATAGCAGCTTGTGGCGTTTCTCCAGCCCGTCCGGCTAGGTCCCCTCGGTCCCTGGGCAATCAGCAGCCAGTTGAGGTGCCAGGGACTGAAGGAACCTTAAGTGCCTTAACCTGCTCGACCTAGCCGGAAGGGCTGGAGAAACGCCACAAGCTGCTATCAGGTAGCCTTTCCCTCACATCACTGTCAAGCACGCGTGCGGGATGCCCATATGTTCCACTGACAGCCAAAAGGCTACATGGAGCGGCTTTGACTGTGGCTTCAAGATGCAAGAATGGGTCCCATGGTTCCCTTGCACAACCCCAAAATAAAACGAATTGACGCTCAAATGTAATGCAATCAACTTATATATATATATATATATATATATGCGTAGCGACACAACACCCCCCCCCCCCCCAAGAATAACGGGTCTTAGCTCCAAAAACCAGGTTTTGCATTTCAGAATCCGTAACACAAACCGTAACTAACCCGTACGTACAAAACCCGCAAAATTTAAGCTTTACTATGAGCACCTTAAGTAGGACTATCTAATAGACTGGCCAATGAGTCTTTTGGGCGCTGCTCAAGCGAGGTGTTCCAACCCCTCATGATTTGTTCTTCAACCCCCAATCAAACCAGGTAGAGCTGCTTACTAAAGTGGTCAAATGTGGGTCAAAAATAGGCACCTATAATCCCTGGTGGTTTAGTTTTCAGAAACCAATGTCCCCAGCCCTGCGTTAGTTTTGACCCCATACCCAACAGGGTTTTGGGGCGCTCAATGAGCCTTGAACGCTCTCCGCGTCGTTTGCGCGCGCAGAAAAACGCCGAGCCGCCGCGTAGCGGCGCTCCACGATCATCACGCGGCTCTTCACCTTGGAGGCGTCGTGCTCCTGCGAAATCGGCGACACCGGAAACCAAAGGCTCGGCAACTGAGGGCCGCGAAAAGCATGGGCACGGGTCAAAATTTAACTACCAGGGGACCGCAGGTTTTAGTCCTTGCTTCCAGGGTTTTATTTTGGGCATCGGCAACTGATCATAGAAACCAGCTACAGGAAATTCAGGAAGTTAGCCAAATACCCACCAAAATCAGGGATTTCCTATAGAATTTAGAATTTCCTGTACGTTTCTTAGAACTGAGGGCCGAGACAAGCATGGCTGGATACCTAGCTGCAACTTTTCTCGGCTGCTTTCTGCTCCCCTGCCAAAAGTTTAACTCTTAGTGGTTTAATACGGAAAACCCATTAGTTGGCAAAAAGTTAAAGTCTTAACATCCAAGCAACATGCTCCAACGTTTTTGTGAATTAAATTCAGAACCTAAAGTTGGAGCTCCAGGAAAAGGACCTGCATGAGCCCGGCGCCCCGACCAAATCATTGGCACCCGTGTTTTGTCAGCTTGCCTCCAATCCTCCAATTGGTGGTTTCGAGGTTAAGGACGGTCTTCCATCTACTCTCTACATGGCTTCCTTGGCAAACATAGGTCCTAGGCTTCTAGGCGTCCGAATTCTTGATTTTGTGTTTTTGTTGAAGGTGCTGTAAGGGCCTAACTAGTTGGATTGGGGCTCTTTGGAACTTCAAAATCAAACTTAATCATAACGGGTGGGTATATACTCTTGGAAATTGCTTAGCCCCTTGCATTGTTCTTTTCGGGTTGGTTTAAAGGAAAACAGAAAGGAACCTTTGCCAATTTGCTGGGTGGGGTCCCGTTTTTGACGCACACACTTGTAGGGAAGGTACCCAAACGTTGACCCACCATGAAAGCCCTTCAGAGAACACTCTGCCCCTTGTGCCCTTGAATAATGAGCTATTCGAGGGATAGCTGTAACACTGTAAGGTCCAGCTAAGCGTCTCGGTGCAGGAAATCACTGCAAGATAATGCGCTTTGCTTCCCACTTTTCCGCTTGGCGTCCCTTTAAACCAACCTAAAAAGGGTACCTGGAGTCATGACCCTTTCCAATGTGGGTCAGTGACCAAAAGATTGCAGCCATGGCCCCATGTGAAGGCTAAGGAGACTTCCATGGGCAAGGCTCCAACCCGCAAGGCTTCCCCATCCGCTCGGTCCGCCAACTGGATGCTCTGCTCGTGGGGCTTCAGGCTGTTCCTGAGGCGCATGTGGGCTGGTGTCCAAGCAGGAAACCCCAAAATGGTTTCCGCTTTGGTTTCCCTGCAAAACAAGGATTGGGAGGTTACCCTCGGACAGGGTTGGGAAGCCCCTGTTCCCTGGTGCAATATCAGGAAACCCCTCCTTTGAAGTGAAGCCGCCATGGAAAGGCCCTTTCAGTAGCAGAGTTGGAGTTCCCACCCTGAAGTGGAGGGTTAGCGCAACCGTCACTACCCATCAACCTGCAACTTGATGCAACACGCATAGGAAATGGAACGCCACAAAGCGATACCGGTGGTTCAAGCTACTGAAGTAGGGCAATAACCATGACTACAAGTGGGGTCACTGGTGTTTTCTCCCCGTACAACCCCAGCACCTTCTGTTGGTTGGCAACTTGTCAGGGAAACCAAGCAGAAACCACCAAACAACAAATAGGACCCTACACCGATCCCTATTTTGAGAACCCCGATTCCAACATCATGGGGCTCTTTTTGGGTGTCCCCTTTTTCAGGGGGCGCCCCGTTGCCGGGATTCCTCGGTGTTCCTTAACCGGTTGCCCTTCGCCAAACAAAACTCGTGACACCTGGAGCACCTGGATGCACCTGGAGCCCCGGGCATCAAGTGCACCGGCAGGGCCAGCTGGATGTGTCGCTGATTCTGGCGCCTTAGCGAGTCGACGAATCGATTCGGCGACGAGTCGAAACGCAAATCGTAGCCTGAGCCCCAGATCTCCGGGGGACAAGGGGTGACCTGTGCAGTGAAGGCCCTGTACGTAGGTTGAAAAGGTGGCTGTTGAGAAAGGGCACATTGTCGGGCAAGGCAACCAACCGAACATCTGGGGCACGCGGACCAAAAATGTATGTTCCGATCTGTTTCATTCTGTTCAGCCTATTTCCTTCGAATGCCTTGAGGCCGTAAGGAACCAAGGGAGGGGTCGGCCACAAATACTGGATTCCCAACGGGACCTCCATTTCGGCAGCTCGCCACAAACCTCTCGGACACGACTCAAACCAGCGACCCTGAAAGCCCAGCGGCCTCTTCTGCCTCTGCTGGCGCGCCTTTGCACGCAGCGCCGACGCCTGCGAAAGGCTCGCAGGGTTCCAGCAAAGGCGATGAGCGACTCCGCGAATTGGTAGGAAAAGGTCGCCAATGCTTGGGTCTACTTGGAGTCTCCACCACGAAAAATATGGTTGCCCGAAATCCCAGTCATGAAATTCCCCGTGTCGGATTCGTCAGGAGACTCCAGGTACCATGATCCAAACCCGAGAAGCTCAAGTCGTGCGAAAAGACTCGCACTTCTGCCGGTTCCGATGGCAAACATTGTCCATGAAATGTCCAAAAAACCCCATGGGGCACCTGTGAAATTGGTTTGCGCGGATGTTCAACCAACCTTTGGACCCCCTCATAACACCCGAAAAAAATTGACCGTGGGAAGATTTGGTGCTTTTCCCCTGCTCCCGACAGACCAAGGATAATTCGGAAATCCCGCCATTCTGCCGCAACCTTAGGCTACCAAAACCTGGAAAAAAGCTGGTCAGACCAAACAACCTGTGTTTCAGTTTCTGTTCCGAAAAACCTAGTGATGGCAGAAAAAGAAACTGGTTGTGCCAATTCCGTAAAATAAGTAAAAGCACCGTACTTGTCCGTATACAAACACCGTAAGACCCATACGCAGAACGACACTCTTGCATTCAAAACCATATTTGTTTCCGCACAAAGCCTTTCTTTTCTTCCGGGACTCCCTCTTCTTTTCTGATGTTTAGCTGCTCATGCAATATATCCCTTGGATGTTCAACCAACTTGATAAGTAGGTTGCTTCATCATGGTTGTAATTGGGGTAAGTGCGGTTAGTCTCTCCTTGCCATGTTTTGCTCACTCACTTACCTGACGTTGGTTGAACACCCATGTAACTTATTCCACAAACACACGCCACGACTCGCGCTCGCCCCTTTTAATGAGGTCGTGCCGATATCCTCAAACGAGCTGGCCGCAGATGGGATGTACACTACTCCAGCAATTGCCTGCTGAGCAACTTTTCTCCATGACCCCTCACTTGTGGCATGTGCACCAGCGTGAAAGTACATGGCTCCATTCTTGTTTGTGATAACTAAAGGGATGGATGATGATGAAACCCAGAATTGCCCCATGTCATGGGGCAATTGTATGCAATGGTTCCATCGTCTGTCACTGCACCGTAAGGAGTTGTGAGCAGTTGTTTATCCCTGAAAGTGGCCAAATCTGTAAAAGGGTACGGCCCCAAGCGAAACCGAGCAGTAAGTCTCATCCCGAATCTGTGACCTCATGCGCTCGCCGAGCGACCAAGCAACCAGAGGCGGGCATGGCGTCACTCACTGAGCTGATTAATTATAGCAAGATGCTGACAAACCAAAACGTGCTGAACAGAATATAAACAGCTTTTGCGGGAGCTTGGAAAGAAGAACAACATGGAAGCTTCAAACAAAGCCCGTTGCCGTCATGGTCGCGTAGGGGGCACGCAGCCGTTCCTGTCTCAAATGCCGGCTGAATTCCGCGGTCTGGCCTCTTACTGGCAGCAGGCCGACTGTTCTCCAGTTGCCCAGTATGGCAGAAACCAAACGAGTGGTATCCCCTTTTGGGAGTTTCCGACTTTTAGAAGGGAGCCCGAGCCCGCCAAACAAAAAAAGGGGGGAACTCATTGGTGCCACTGAACAACTGGGGTTCTCAAATGATATGTCGCGCGCTCAAATGTAGTGCGCCTTGCCTCAGCCGAATGTCTTAGTCCCTCAGGCTCATGGAAAATACAAAAAACCACCCGGACGCTATAATGGAGAATCGCGCCCTCAAGGGTCCTTGCACGCAACCCATTTAGTTTTAACGGCCCAAAAATGGGACCCTTCGGGTATTCCACTCCCCCAAATCACTCGCAAGGGAACATGGGAAACATCAGCCCTACGTAGCCACAACACAAGTTGTGTACCTTTCGGCCAGTTGTTTGGTGGTGCAACCTATCTTCCAGTTTTTAACATGGAAGCGGGAAAGGATTCCGGTCTCACTTGTTGGATCCCCTCCAGGGCCGCCCAAGAATAAGCCGTTATCCCAAACGAGAAGTGAGTCCCCTAATATCTCGCCACAATTGAGCATGGACTGGGCATTTTAACCGAATCGTACTGATCTGGGCAAACTATTCTCACTTCCAAACCAGCAACAAGAAATCCCCGAGTACGAGAACTTCACGGGTGAGCTTGTCTTACCCCAGGTTGGGCCTTCAAACCCTGCCCCCACTGCAAGGGAACTTGCGTTGGAAATCCCGATATGCCGCAAATCTATCACTTGGATGTTCAACCAACTTAGAAAGTAAGTCAAAACCATGGCCATAACTTGGGGAACCGGGGGTTGCTCCTCACGACTCATAACCATGGCCACAACCTATTTACTACGTGGTGTTCACACCCAAGCTCATCTTTTGTGGCTGCTTCACTTGTATTCAAGGACTTCAAGTCCTCAGCCAGTGACCCTAACCACAAAGGGAAGCAAGCATGTGGACTCACCTTGACTTGGAGTTCTATGGCTCTTGTGAGTCCATGAAAGTGCTGTCTGGGTCCATGAAAGTAAGATCCTGGGATGACCCTCAGCTGTTTGCAGGAAACGTCCCAAAAGCAGATGTTTGAGGACCCCGCAAAATGCAACCACTTGGGATCCCAAAAAGGCTCTCCCAAGAAGGTATCCTCAAAAACATATGATATGGGGTTGTCTTGTTTGAAGGGTGCCCCCAAAAATTGGTGGTTCTCCTTTCGTTTCGTTTTAAAGCCACAGAGAAAAGGGAACCCTCAAATTCAGACAGACCCATATTGGAACCTGCAACCCTTCATGTGTTTTGCCGGACGCCATTCTTTCCCGAGGCTCTTTGGTAGCTCGGCAGAAGATCACCCTCCTTGCCGGTCTTGCGGTTGAATCCCACCGCGCCTCAGAGGTTCGGCATCTGGATAGTGTGGCGCAAAATTAAAGAGGGGCAAACCGCAGGTTTTGGTCCATGTTTCCACTTACCAGTGGACCAGGAATCGTTTTGGTACCGTTTTTTTGAGCAGCCACATGAATCTTGATAAGGGAACCCTTGGTGCACAGCACTTCGGTGGGGGTTGATGCCCACCGACCACTTTTGACGGGTAAACCCCTACTGAAATGGGTAGCCATAAACAGGCAAGGCCTGGACCCAAGGACGGATTCCTTCTGTCTGCCCAAACCCAAGTGGTAAGGCAAACAAAAGGAATCGGTGCATTGGGGGTTGGGGTCGTGAAAGGGGGAACAGTCCAATGGTTGTACAGCCCCTTTCTTGCGGGTCAGAACATCCCAACCACAGAAAGCGCGCAATCCAAAAGATTGCCTTGGCACCTAAGGGCCAAACGTGGGTATGGGTCAAACTTAAACCACCAGGGGACCGCAGGTTTTAGTAGTTGTTTCCATTTACCAGGGCTCCATTTTGGGTACCTGTTTTTCACCCACACCCTGAGCTTCGATTGCCCTGCCGGTGATATCGATCACCTTGGTGAGAAACTCAAAATGAGGGCCCCCTCGTTTCCTTTGGGCTTCCTTTGAAACCATCCAACCAGGGCCCCCCGATTTGAACACCACCTGCAGGGGGCAAAACTCTTTTTGAACGCCCAAGGCTTAAGATACGTGCGCAAGATCGAGGCCATCCACCACAGTTGTGTTGTTTTGCAACAGTTGAAAACCCAGGGTTTGGCCCCTTTGAAGGGAAATCCAAAGTGGGTCTTTTCAGGGAAACCCCTTCTGGTGTTAAGGGGAAACCAACGGTTACAACATGTTTAGGCCTTCCAGATTAGAGACAAACCCAAATGAGGATGTTCAACGACAGCGGGTTAAACATGTTTTGCACAGGTTGGCCAACCAAAACACTATGTTGAGGCTGGATGAAAAAACCTTGCGGATTAGGGACTGGTCCCCCCATGTGAAAGCAACTATCCCTGCCCGGAGAACAATAACAAACACACAACATGACCTGTTTTTCTTCATGGGGTTCAGGAGCTGCATTGGCCAGTCGTGAGTCCTAAGGGAGGTCCAAACAGCGGAGGTACCAAACAGTCCAATGAAGAGACCCTGCTGCTTGGGGTGTCCCCTATGTTTCTCTTCACCTGCCTTGCCCTGAAAGATCCTGGGACTGAATAATAGAGGACCCGAATTTCCCCCTTTCCCCACCACCCCCCGTCTTTGGGGCACCTCACCTCCCCGCCCATCGATCGGGGCAAATTCTCTCGGTCCAACCGGGGCGGCGGCCCAGCATGGCGGCCAGCCCGAAGCAGGCCAGGCCCAGCTTCCTCGACAGACCGCAGACCTTGGCGTCCAGACCTGCAGCGCACGCGGCGTCTTACCGACGTCCCATGGACGTCCGGTGAAGCGAAAGGTGTGATCCGTCACTTCCGAAGGAGTGGGTTGGCCAAGAAAGCAATGAGACTTGCGATCCGATTTACCACTGAAATGGTGTTCCCAACAAGCTTTAAGTCCATGAACGCAGGAAGTGAGGCAGTACCCAAAGAAACAACCAGCTGGATCAGTTTGAGGTTGCAACTCAGTCCTGAATGCGAACACCAACAAGTTCAAGGACTTAATCTGGACCCCTGGCCCTGACCCATTTTTCTGCCCCAAACACCAAAACGGGGTCGAACAGGGGGGGGGTTCTGCGTAGTGACACGGAGGCAAACAGTGGGCATGAATGCTCCTTGCTTGTGGGTCAAAGGCGGTAAACACCAAAAGCTTCATTGGGGTCCGCAAGGGAAGGTGATACCCTTTGGGGGTTGGTAGGGAGAAGGAAGGAAGATCCATTGGGGTCAGCAAGGGTGCGCCCATTCGATTCTGAGGGTGGAAACTGAAGAAAACAACAGGACCCCGTCCACCATTTTCCTAGCGTCTTGAGGTGCGTAATGAACAACCCTGTCAAACCTGAGGGGTGAACTCAAACAGGCCTGAAAGAAAGTCGTGTACGGATCCAACATAAATTGGGCGGCCCGAGAGCTTCAGTCGAAGAAACTGGATCATAGGGGGGGTTAGATGGGGATTGCGTCGTATGAGTCATGACTGTTGCTGCTAAAGCCAACTGCAAATCACCTTGAGCAACTAGACTTCCCATCGGGCCGACCCTTGTGTGCATCGCGGACCGGCAAGCATCGCGGAACGGGTTGCGTGGCAGCCAACGGCTTGGCTGACTGCTGGGTTTAGTGGCTAGACTATCGAAAAGTTGAAGGATTGAACTGGCAATGCTGCAAGGCGGTGGGGACTCAACAAGGGTCGCGCCACCGCCATCGGAGTCCTGGACCGCGAAAGGACCCATTCCTTTTTTGTGCCCACAACAACGGGGCACAAAGGCAGCAAAAAGGAATCGGTCCGTTGGGAGGGTCCAGAAAGGGGTGCCAATGAAGAAAACATCGACATAAACAGAAATGGCACCCTGGGTCCCTGTTGGTTTCCTTCTAAACCAGACCCAAAAGAATACCCTCAAAATATCCACATCCCTAAACGAGCCGGTTCTTCTCCTGGGGTTTCTTAGGTTCTAGGTCTGTTGGACCCAACGCTCGAACTCATTTTGTGAACATGGATCTGTGTTTATTTGAAGGTACCCTTCTTGGGGTGATATTTTCAGGGAAACCAACAGGAAACTACCCATGATTGTTGGCCTCCCTATTTTGACACGCACACGCACACGCATGTTCATGCAAGTACTCTGCCACCAGCAGGTTGCTATGGTCCGCTAGAGTGTCGCATGATCTTGCCAAGCAAAATATATCAACCCCTATGTGCAAACCATTTGCCAGCTTGACTGCAGCCTGACTTCAACTGGATGGTAAACAAGGGTTCCGGGGGAAGCAAACAAAGAATAACACCATAGTCAATGCCCTTGTGGTTTCCAAGCAGACCGTTTGGCAGCCAGACACCTGACTGAAGCTTTGACCCGGGCCTTCGTAGCCGGCCATCAGCTCTTCCTGCCGCAGTGGGTCCAGCCGATGTGAGCCACGGTCCATACTGACTTTTGCGCTCGTGCTTTTTCGAGGGTACCCTCTGGTTTGGTGTGGCTTTCACGGGAACCAACGGGAAAACCGCATGTTTTGGCGGTCTAAGTGTTTTGTTTGACATCCCCTGCTGTGTCCCCCCCATGCCAAAATTCCCCCCCCCCCCCCCGCATTCATTGATGGCCCGCAAGTCTGATGGAGACAAACCAATGACGGGCCAGCGATTGCTGCTGGGAAATTCCTGTTGGGTATGAATTTGGATTGGGGACTTTATGTCCTCCCATTTTACAGGAAAGTCCATTTTCGTTTGGATCGGGTATTCAGGATTTGCTTCGTGATAGTTTTACACGGATTTTATGTCCTCCCAGTTTGGAGGCTGTTCTAGGCATCAAAATTCACAGCTATGTCATCCACGAATTGCTCCCCAGTAGCCCTCGCTTATGAGCCTCTGTTTTGCCTATCCCCTGTTTCCTGAGAACTCTTGCTTACGGCGCTGAAAAGAGGCTTTCGGAAGCTATCTGCGGGTTAGGTTTAATCAGCCTTTTTCCCGACGCTCACAGGGTCCGACCCCGCTGGGAGACACCCCACGACCCACTCAAACAACTGATGGCCCAGAGCAGGCGTGATCCTTGAGGCCCATGATTTGCCGCCCAATTGAACTTCCCAAAATCAGGCCACGTCCCTTTGGGTGCCCCAAGGCCAAAAAGGCCATGTTGGGTCCCGTCGCGTCGCGCCTCCTCGCTCCACTGGGACATCCACCTGAGCCGCTCAAACCGGAACCGCCAATAGCTTTAATGTGCCGTCAGCAAAAAGGGTGTCAAAATTAGGGACCCTTTGCGGTATCCCCTGCAAAAGACGGCGAGTATCTGCGGAGGTCCGCCCATATCAGCTTCATATGGGGCCCCTGCCACTCAACCTGTAGAAGGAATCTTTATCACGGCACCCGAGGTCGTCGCAGTCCAAATCCTGTAGACTTGATCTGCAAGTGTTACACTGCCTACAAGCCAGAATTCCACAACCAGAAAGAAGGAACCCGTGCTGAGCTTAGTCAAACCCCGAATAATCGTTGAGCTCGCCATAGAATTTGCAGACTTGGCGGCCTTGTTTCAGTGCCAAAGGGCCCATGAAGATTCCATTCAGGTTCTTCCGCCCTCGGTGGCGTTCCTCACCACATCCAGAGACGTGTGGTAAGCGATCAGAGTGAATGCTCGCAGAATCCCAGCGAGTCGACAACGGCTGAAAACAACAAGACTGAAAATACGAGAGGATCATAATGCACAAACATTGTTTATTCTACGATGACAAAATAACCATGGGTTTAGCAGTACCCTTCTCATTGCTTCCTGTTACCACTATGGTAGGTAACCAGGGTTTCTTAACTCTAGGTTTCACGTGGTGCCCCCTGCTTACCTATAAGCAGATGAAAGCACTGGGCTACAAGACTATGTTGAATACTCAGGCTCTTGTAGTATGCAATGCCCCAAAGGGAGCTAAAGAAGTAACTGTCTAGTTTCCTCTGATTGGCTTTTCTCGACGTCCACCAACTGGGAGATGTCTCACTCTTTGCCCAAACAGCTGAACCAACAAGCACGTGCGGCAAGGTGCTGATTCCTTACGCTATTACTTTCATTACTAACCTCATCAGTTTGCATTGGTTTGAACTATTGTGCATCTACCCAAACGCTCACGCCTACCGCAAATTGAACAGTATCCATCCCCTTTTGGTTCCCCTTTACTTAAATTTGAACGCAAAGGCTATTTAGCAAGCAGCTACGCCCCAGGCATAGCCATCCGTAGCCTCCTTTTTAAGGTCCGAGAATGGGAAACTACGGGGCTCGTTGCATGGTTTCAACGGAATCCCGAAAAATTGCGACACGCCAGACGGCCCATACGGGTATGATTTTAGGGGACCAAGTGGTGGATATCATGTTGGTAAATGTTTTTGTCCAAGAACTACTTTTGAGGGGGTCCAACTCTTGAAGTTCATAGCCATATTATGGCCATGGGTCAAAATCCCGTACCCCCAGTGAACATCCCAATCCCAACTACAATAGACTAAAATGGGTGGTGCACCTGCCCCAAAATGGTACCATTGGTGTTGACCCACGGCCACATGCAGGGATAGCCCCCCCGTAGAACAGTAGGGGCTAGGTTGGAGCCAAGCCACAGCTCCTCAGTGGAGTTGAAGTCCGGCAGCTCGGATTTCGCTTCTGCCTAATGGGACACACCAAACTTGAAACGACCCAAAAAAGCGCTAGTTGTTTAGGGGTACTTATTTTGGTTTGTAGGGTTGGTCACTTTAGAGGCACTTATTTTAGTTTGTGGGGTTGGTTACTTTGGGAATGGCACTTTTGGTTTTGTGGTTGGTTATTTTCGGGGGCAGCCTCTCCAAAAAAGTGGAACCTGAAAGGTTTAGCAAGGACACTCTGTCAGGCTCCATTCTTGCTTTTCTTTCAGAACAGCCCCGGGCAGAAATTTCACATAGGATATATACATATATAACACGAACAAAATATATGATAATTGTCTAATGACAGCCCCGTTGCATGGACACCAATTGTGCCTGACCTTGTAAAGAATGCATTTGTTGGCTGGCACACCATGCTTTTAGAAGCACTCGTCAGGGTTGAACAAAGCAACCACTTCTGTGACAACGGCTGGAAACTTTGATTGGTGGGGACCGCCATTTTTTCAACCCAAAACCTATTGATTGACTACAAGTTTACTTTGTTGGCCCCAGCAAAACCAGTTGGGGCTCACAGAAACACGGTTCCACTCTATCGATGGGGATCTGAACACCTGCTCAGGCAAGCGGCCATCATGGCATCCTGCGAGGCCACGTAGTCGCCTCGATCAAAGGTCAGATGTGAGGACAAGCCGCTAACCTTTGCTTAGCCCTCTGGGGTACACTGATTCTGTTTCACATTCGGCCGGAGGAACAGGGTGATCAGTAGGGTGTCGCAAAAAAGGCGGGGGTTGTTCGGCAACTAATTTGCAGAGTTCCAGGAGGGCGGGTTGTCTCCTCGAAGGCTTGGGGTACAGGGTCCCTATCTAATTTCTGCCAAATGAAACCCATTTCAACAAAAGCCCGAGAAGGCACCACAAATTTTCCGGCAAAAAGGAACTGCACAAAGCAGTCAGAGTTGACATGATGCTTTCCTCTACCCGCCATAGTGGTAGCTTGAAGAACTGGGTCTGGCCACTCTTCTGGGGTGCTCCAAGATTGTCGGATGGTTCCAAAGGTTGACCCAAAACAACCCCTGGAGAAGCTTAGTTTAAGACAATGATCCTGGTTAGGCACTAAAACTAGAAGGTGTTGTTTTTCAATTTCGTCGTAGTTTCTGAAGAATACAACATAGAACCTGACAGGGGGGTCCTGGAAGCCAATTTTCCTTTTAAAGGGACCCCTGTCGGGTTCCATGTTAATTGATGAGAGGGTCGTGGCCACTTCCCCTTTCTGAACGGCCCTCGAAAGTCCGAGCCGAGGCGCCCTTGAACTCCTGGGGCGCCAGGGCGGCCGTGGTGCCGCTGAGGTGCGGGAAGGGGCACTGCTGCGGGAAGACCTCAGCCCAACCGCCGAAAAAACCGCTGTCAGCTTCCAAGTGGTGGTTTCGGGGTTTGGTGGTTGGGTGGTTTTGGTGGCTACCTCCCATTTGGGTTCAACGGGATTTGGGGTTCAAATCCCAAACCCCAAACCACCAATCCAAACCAACACAGGGAAGCCGACCCGTTCTTCGGGGCGAGGTGGTTTGGTGTTGGTGGGTGCAGTTTCCCAATCCAAACTCGCCAGTTGAACTGGGGCTTGCCTGACTTGACGTTGGTGCCGAACACGTCCAGGAAAAAACAAAAAAAACATGGGACACTTCTGCGGGTCCACCTCTTTTGGTAGGGAAACCAAAAGGAAACCAACACAACAAAGGGGGGCCACTAGTTTAAGCCATGTTGAGAAACCCCAGGTCGGGACATGTTCAGGTCGTTCAAGGCCTATACAGGATAATGAAGGGAGATGCGTCTACGTGCTTCTACGTGAGTGCCAGAACTTGGAAATGAGATGAAAGTGAAAAACAATCTAGAAGAAGAAGCTATTGGTAAAGAAGTGAGATATATCAATTCATTGGAGATAGCGCAAAGTAGTAGTTCAAGAGAAGGAAAAAGTGCACGGGGAACCGTTGTTATTTCTCATTATCTTATTTTGTTTACTTCGTTTTATCTCTATCCACATCCGTCTTCTCTAAAACTTCTAACATAGTATGATGGAGAGACAAAGGGACAGCGTATTAACTCTGGAATCAACTGCAGTTCATTTCTGCCAGAAAACAAATTGGGACCCTTTTGGGGCTGACCGCTTTTAGTGAACTCGCCAACACGAAAGGGATGTAACATGGGTACCCTCTTTCCAACAATCGTGGAAGTGGACAGGAGGGGCTCAAAGGAAAAGACGTCTTCCAACACCCTCATGCCGGCGCGCTTCCCTTATTATTCGAGTCAGGGGAGCTTTGAGACTTGGCCTAAACAGGGACCCCTTCAAAGAATTCCACACGGGTTGCTAAAGGGGTCAATATGTGTGGGAAGCAATGATTGAATCAATACCTCAATCCAACACCCATGGTAAACGATCAAGAGGTCTTCTTGCCTCACCTATTTCAAGGGGACATGGGGTGAAAATGATGGAAGCTTTGCCCGTGCAAGGGATTAACCCAAGACATCCAGCAAGTGGCCGTGGTTGAAAGATGGGTTTCGGTCCTGATGCTTCCAGATAATTTCACAAAACGGCCACATCACCATAGCCCTCCCCGAGCTTCCCCACCAAACAAAATGCAAAACCTAGCGGTAAGAAACTCTGGTTACCTACCATGGAAACTGGAAGCACCAGGTGACTTCAGGGTTTTTCCACCGCAAGACAACAAAGGGAAAACTGGGCCGCGAGAGGAAACCAGGGCCATTGTGTTTGGGCCGAATCCTGTTTGCCTAGGAAAGATTGCCTCGACTCCGTACTTTGATAAGAAATCCGAATCATCTTTGGGGGGCAAGCATTGACTTGTCCACGACGGTACAATGGATTTATATACCAGAAGCTGTAGTAAAGTACATGGTACCCATTCCCCACTTGTTATATATTCAGGGACTCCACCAAAGTCTCAAAAGGGCTGCCGTAGACTCTACAGCTCAAAGACACGTCTTTCCAATGGTGCCCACTCACAAATCGCAAACCGCAGGGTCAAACGTAGCGCGTAGCTCGTGTTTTTGCATCAGTCATGGCCTGGGAAACAAACAGGTTGGGGTTGGTGGAAACCATCTGTCACGCGGTTGAATACTTGCTATACCCTTTGCGGGCTGGGTAAGTTGGAGAGTCCCCTGGCTTAGAGAGTCCCCCAATGTCCATCCCGGAATTGACCATCGACTACTGGACACTTGGGAAAATTCATATCGGCCGCTCCCCACCCACAAGTGCAGCGAAAGCTCATAGTGCAGCCACCTGAGCGAGCCAAGGTTTTAGTCATGCCTTTGGTCTCATTTGGGTGCTTGTTTCAACAATAGGGGACCCCCCAAGTATACGATATTTTCCTTGTGGGTTTCCCTTAAAGTCACAAAACACATGCAACAGTTGTCTTCTTTGTTCGCCCCATTTGGGTCCTTGCGCCAGGTTGCTCCTTGCTTGAGGCCAGGGCGCCCCTTTGGCCGACTGGGCGCTCCTGTTGTCAACTCCATTGGGACAAGTTTCGCATACCAAAAAACAAATATACATATGCAAGTACATAAGCATGTGTGTATGTGTATATGTATATACATACATATATATATAAGTATTCAGTTTTGCGGTCAACCCCTCCCCCATGGGAAGGGTAGTTCATGGGGGGCTGGGCAGCATAACATTTCTACTATATATACATATGCTGACACCCCCTGGAATTGATCTGCCTTTTGCGTTTCAGGCCTGTTTGTGCTCCGTCCCATCTGCAAATCCAAAGCACATGTTTCTTGAAAAGTATCCCGTCTGCAGGCCATCGCATATCATTCCTGTCTGGTTTGTGTCCCATCTTCAATTTTAAACCAACTCCGTTCTACCTAAAACATAGAACTTCTAGGAAGATTCCATGGATGTTTAGTTTTAACTCTAGTTAAGTTTAATCAAATTTGGAAAATGAACCATACTCTCCAAACAAAAACTGAAATTGTGATAAAACAAAAAACATGCCCTACTAAATTATACTAAAGCGATGTATTAACATGAACATCAAGGGTGGCAAGGAATTCCACTATATAAAGCTCTGATTGTGAATAGCAATCGAACTAGATTTGTTCCTTAAACTCTTTTGCAATCAACATCTTATTGGGAACAAGAAGCCTTGAAAGGATCTGTTTTGTTAAGGAGCTTCCTTATGAGGAACTTTGCAAGCAGCTTTAGGAGCTTTTATAAGAAGCTTGCAGGGAGCCTTATCGGAGTCTTACGGGGCTTGAGTCATGGATTTAAAGCCAGCGGTTGACTTGGTTAAAATCGAAACTCTAGTCCAGCTCTGGCCTTATTGTTTTATATTTAGATTCTAACATCTGTTTACTCAATGTTTTAGCTTGTAAGACATTCCTCTTATCAGTCTAATCTAGACTGCGGTCGCTGACTCCGCTGGTAGAATCTACCTGGTGGAAGTGTTCAGCAGAGGATGTCAACGCATATCGAAGCAAGGTCACACCTTCAGCAAGAACATAAGGGAACAAATCTAAACAATAACACAAAACTTGTTTGACAACGTTTAATTCCCCATTAAACCAAGCCAAAAAAAGGTACCTCAAACAATACACACCCATGAATATAGGGACTCCAACCCGTGCGGATCCAGGCCAAGTTGCTGCAGGAAGCGCCGACCATGGATCGGCACCTGCTGCCAATGTGATTCCGAAACTGATTGACTGTTGGTTCTGACGTGAGTGTGGGTCAGAAGTAGAGTAACCCCAAAATGGGTTGCCTGGTAAACGGAAACAAGGACTAAGACCTGCGGCCAATTCCTGGTTGTTTTATTTGACCCATGCTCACATGGATATATATGTATATATATATATACATGAATCAGTACCGCAATATGGCACCCAAGATTCCCCCCAAGAAAAACTTGCTAGGTGATCGGGATACGTTTTGGCATTTTCTCAAGCGGGTTGGTGTCCTTTTGGTTGCACTCGGAGCCTCGGTTGTTGCAGGAAGGTAGGAAGCCCCCAGTTCAAAAAGGCTCCAAGAGCAGATGCATTTCGTCTGGGTGGGAAAAATCGAGGCAGGCTGTCGGTGAGGGTTGCTTGGCATACCTGCATATAAAAACAACAACACAAATCCACCCCTTGGCACTCTTGAGGGGACATAGAGATGAATTTGTTTGACCCGGCTGACCCATCCCCAACAGACCGATTTGCTTTTCCTGCCTTCGCACCCCTTAGTTTTTGCGGATCATTGGGGTGGAAAAACAAATAGGTTATAGTCGCTTGGAGGGTCCGGATATTTTTAGGACCTGGGTGTTCAACCCACGTGTCGGCTTCTTCACCATGGTGATAACTGGGGGACTGGGCTTAGTCCCGTTAAACCGTGGCTATAACTTACTCGCAAAGTTGGTTGAACACTCAAGTGGGGTGAAGCGTCGTACCCTGAGTGTTGCACGAGCTTTCCTGCCGGAGCCTGCAATACGACCCTTCTTGAGGACACCTGACCTGGACCCCCAAAGGACCGCTTCTTTTTCTCCGCCCAGATTACCAACACCAAAGGGGGACCAAAGCAAAGCAAAGCTAGGTCCTCCAGTAGAGAGGATAGAACAAGGCACCCTTTTTTTGTAGTCTATTTTAGTAGGGTAAAAGGGCACTACAAGGGGACCCGACGGGTGCGATTGGATTTCGATTCGCAGTCGCCTCGCCGTTGTGGTTGGCGGCAATGGCTTGGAGCTGCGCAGCCATGCCCTCCAGCCGCGGAGCACGCTCGTCCTGCGGCTTGCGATTGATGTGTCTGCTGGTTTTTGCCCACGGGTAGCTGGGGTTGGTCCTCTTGTAACCATGGTGGTATCCTTCTTTCTGACAAGCTTGAACACCCAACCTAGCCCCCCCCCCCCACTCCCTTCGGAACTCAGCCGTATCAATCCGCATGGCCCGTTTGCTGGCTGAACGTATGAGGCACAGTCAAGATTGATTCCCAACTGACATGGGAAATTTGGTGTGATTTCCCTCTATGTGCTGATAGCTTCAGCAATGAAGATGAATCGCACTGCACTAATTTGGAAAACTACTACAATCCAAAAATAGCTACACAGGAACGTTCACAGGAAACTAGATTTGCTTAGACTGGCCTTATCCCAGCTTAGACTGGGCTTGTCCAAGGCGGCTTATCATTAAAAGCGGGGTCTCCAAAGAGCTTGTCCAGGAACAGGGGATCTCGTACCGGCGGGCAAACTCCAGGAAGCTATCCTAGCTTGATTTTGGCTCATCCAAGCTTGAACTCCCATTAAACATGCTTAGATTTGCTTAGGCTAGATTCCCATAACCTTCCCAATCTAACTTTCTGGAGAAGATCCTGGAGAAGCGTTTTTTGATACGATGCCCCAAAAGCTGGAAAGCCCCGAGTAACCGACCTTCATCCTGGGTGAGCTCGCTTTACCACCAACAAGAACCGCCCAAAATATTGCCCAAATGAATGGCGAATACTTGAGGGTTGGTCTAAGGAGCTTGGAATAGCAACCTCCAAAAGAATCCAAAAGAACGATCCCAGACCAACTGGACCGGGTCCCCTTGTTGACCTCATTTTTCTGCCTTATCGCAGGCTGAGGCAAATATGTCGGAGGGAACTTGCTTCCTCACTCACCACGCCAGGATCCATCATGAAGGTTGGTATCTCCAGTTTCAAAGGGAGTTGATAGAGCACGGACCGCAGGTGATCCTTGCTATTGAAAGGGTGGTTCCCCTGATTACCTACTTGGATGTCTGGTACCCGGTTATATATGTGGTTTGCGGCCTGGGCTAATTTTGTATATCGCCAACACCAGGGTGAACTCATCCAAGGGGCTTATATAACTGGGCAGACTTCGGCCAGCAAAAGATTGACCTGTTGCTAGCTGAAAGCAAAACATGAAGGAAAGCCAATACGCAAATAGGGCAAACAAAAAAATGTAATTAAGTCTGGCAATTCTAAGCGGGCTATATCATGGTTTACTAATCACACTTCTGGCTTGGCCGAAATACCCAAGTAGGCCACAACTCTCTTACAGGAGACCCAAAGGAAAACTTTGGAGCCTTACTATGACAGGGCTTGTCTGTTCTGGCAAAGGGTCAACTTGAACCACCCCTGAAACACCTCCAACCAGCCAACTAGAGGGAAGCTGACCAGCCATTTCAGTGTAGGATTTGTAATTTACCAGTTCGTTTGGGTAGAAAGACTGAATGCTGGCAGTTTGCAAATTCCCTTCGAACACATGGCGGCTTCCTGTTCCCAAACAGCGCTCCGCCCACGCCCGATCCTCCAAGGAAATCGCGGAGGACATGTTGGCGACTACGGCCAGCAGCCTCGGTGTCAGGTTTCTAGTGAAGCATCAGCCTTGTGGATTGGGCCGTTCACCTCTGCTGTGTCAAAACCCTACCAAGCCTACCATGAAAGACAGGGAATGGACCAGGTCCCAATGGGCCGATTCTTGTCTGCCTTTGTACTGCTTTGGGACAAAGGGCCAAAAACATCCAATTTGGGGGATGGCAGTCCGAAAGCTCAGATAAACCTGCACTAGGGTCACTAGGGGGTCTCATGAACCTTAACTGGAAAACAACACTTTTGTTCGAACTTGTCGCACCCCTTTGGGAGGCTAGATCAGCAAGCACACATCAAATGGCAACAGTGCTATTTTATCAAGGGCTGACTTGCCCATTTCACCTTGCACCCACTGGGTGGTTCGATGGCATGTGGTTTGGATGTTAGAGGGTATCATCCCCGTTTGGCGTGAACAGATACTGGGGTTCAAATCCCCAAGCCACAAATCCAAACCATCAACCACGGGCAAGCTGACCAATTTTAAGTAGTCTTCAGGTTCCCTAAGCAAATCAACAGCTTGGATTTGGAGAATGGTTCAACCGGCTGGTGGATGCACAAGAGGTTGCGGCCGCGAACCCAGCAAAGGTGTTTGATTTTGCGGCCTAAAGTGATCCCAAAGGCAGGTGCCCGTTCTTTGCTGGGGAGGGGGAAGCCGGATGGGCCGAAACTGTTCCTATACAATTGGTCGGCGGTGGACAGGAAGGCAGAGAGGTGCGGGATTTGCGGTTCACTGCAACACCGGAAGGGTGTGCGCCCAGTTAATTGAGCACGAGACAGCGGGAAAGGCCAACAGAAGGGTGTCCCAGCGGCCAACCGCAAAGGCGCAGGGCGCCCAGGAGGAAGAGGCTGGAGCAGTGGAACCTATAACCTCGTCGAGCTCTACTACCGCAGGTGGTGCAGGGCAGTCTGCTGTGAAGCACAATGCGGAGATGCGGCAGCTGCCACAGGAGGCGCCGGGCAGCCTGAAATCCTTGAACGGGGGGAGGCGGTGAAACGGCTTGAAGCAGGCGGTTTTGGCAGGCATCCTGAGTCGCCAGCCAGACCACGTGACAGAGCAGGTCAAGGTAGTCCAGGAGGTGGATCGGATGGCGAGCTGGAAAAGGCATGTGGAGAATGAGCGTGTTCCACATCGGCGGGATTGCCGAGTGTGCATGGAGGCGCAGGCCGGGCAACGCCATACAGTAGAGTGCAGCCATGCTATGTCGCTGGACATCGCTGGGCCATTCAGAGCAAGAGAGGGCATGGAGGCGTTGGTGGCGGTGATCACTGTTCCCATGCGTCGATCTTCAGGAAAGCTGTTGGTCTGGGTGGGTGAAGAGGACACGGAAGGTTGGTCGAGAAGCTGATCCGAACCTGGAAAGGAAGGTAAAGCGGATTTGGAGACAGACTACGTCCAAGCACGTGACCTCAAGGACCGGCGGTGGAGATCAATCGAGCGGAGGAAACGTGTCAAGGTGTTTGAAGGGAGCGGTGGTGGACTTGCAGACCAAGCAGAGGGATGGCAGTTGAAGTTTGTCCAGGACAGCTACAGGAAGGAGAAGAAAAGGACAGGGGAGCCGAGGTTGGAGACGAAGAAAGCGGAAAAGACAGGTCGCCCTGGGCGAATTGCTCCGGGCATCAACTCGGCCGGACATAGCGTTCGCGGTTGGTCAAGCGTCAAGAGAGGCGCAAAGGCCAGCATCCCAGGCAGCGGGACATTTCTTTAGGGAGGGCAGAAGGACCGGCAGCTCAAGACACAAAGGACCAAGGAAGGACGGGACATGGACGAACCAGGACGCACCATCATGCCTAGGCAGGCAGGAACAGGGCAAAGTCCCGGCACTCCCAAAAGGAGGACTTGGTCATAGTCTTTGCCATGTGCGTGATGGGAGAGCAATCCCCAGTCGGCAAGAACCTCAAGATCAGTGGTGGGGAGGATGGAGTACTATGCGGAGATGGAGAGATGCTCGGAAGCGCCGTAGAGTTCCTCTTCGGAGCTTCAAGGGGAGATTGTGGAATCTGAGACATCCTGACAGAAGGTGGAGAACAGCAGGTCTTCGGAAGGTTAACGTGGGCCTTGTCAAATCATCGGCGTGATGAAAGCTGTGAAGGTTGTAAAGGGAGAAGGCAGCTGTGGAGGAGCACTTTCACGAGCTCGTCGTTCGAAGAAACGCCAAGACGGGGAAGGTGATCAACAACGGGGTCGATGCCAAGCTAGAGCAATGAGTGCTGGCCCTATCAATCTGGCCAGGCAAGCTGCCCTCCGGACGCAGTTGGACGTCTGTGTCGATGATGGATCTGTTGGCTCGCCCTGTGAAGTCAGCGAGCTGGCGACGAAGGTCGACAGAAGAGAAGATCAAACTGGCGGAGAGCATCGCCTACGTGAGCTGAAGGAAAAATGCCTTTTTTGGGCCCGTTTGAGCTGCCTGCGCGGGAGTGGAAGTGGCACATGACCCCGTTTGTATTTGGTGGCTCAAAATAAAGATTCAGCGGCATAGCGCACTCAGAAACAAACCCATTTTGGGGGGTCCAACCGAGTTTTGGACACGGATTGTGGGAATTGCCCACTTATGTGATATTCCAAAACACATATGTTGCTTTTCCACGAAACGGAGAGGTTCCCTGGTATCACAGAAGTGGGAACCAACCCCTCGCTCCCCCAACCGATTTTAGGAGACAAACCGATTTGGGAGACCTACTGTGGATGGAGGAAATCCTGCACCACCAAACAAAGCCTGGAATCATGATTCCCCTGCAAATTCCAAATTTCCCATGGTCTCAAAGCGGTGCGAATTGGATTCCGTCCATCCACATAAACCAAGGCCCAGAGGAAACTTGGCTGATCCAAGCCGCTGCTCCGGCGTGGCGCTCGGAGCCTTCAGCGCCGTCTCGATCTCCGCCATCAGCGGGTTGCAGTCGTTGAGGCAGCAAACCATGTAGTGACTGGTGGCCAC